AATATTTGTTTAATGTCTGAAAAGAATACTCTGGTGATTTATGTACTTCAAAATTATGTAAATGTACCCTCAGGATGCTGAGTGAAAGGTGCAATTTTGACATCAGAACCAGCGGATGCATCAAATATTTAATTAAAGGACCAGATGAAAAAAGCAGATGATGGAAATGTGGTCTCAACACTCCCCCCGCCCCCAGGTCTGAGACAGCAGCAAGGTCCTGTGTCACCCTTGAAAGCAAAACAGGACTACAGATGAATTCGAGAAAAAATGCACATTTATCGTCCACCTATTTTTAGGGCGGGTTTCTTTTTAAAAGCGGCTGTTAAAATACAAACGATGTATTTTCAGGACTCAGGAAAGAACATGTACTCCCTTTCTGATGTTAACTAGTGGAGGGAAAGCTGGAAGGCTGCTTGCTTAGGAAGGGTGTTTATTAGCTAGGATGCCAGTGAAAAATTTAATACTCGTTTATAGCAGGGGACCGTCTTGGGCCCTTCATCTGGGTACGTGGCTCTCCTTCCTCTCGAGTAAACAGTAGCCTTAGGAAGTCTCATCCCAGTTTGTCCTTTATCGCTAGACCGTATTTCAAAACCTCAACTGTATTTCCATAGCAGTGGGGTTAATTACTTGCTGCAAAGATTCCCCGATTTCCTGCAAGTTGTCTTAATGGAAACTCGGAACGTGCTGCATGAACCATTTACACCGCAGCCCTGTTTCCTGGCAGTGTCCTGCCAATTCAAGAAAGGAAAGAAAGGGAAGGTACTTCACCATAAGGAAGCAAAACCTTTTTTCTCCCTGCTTTCTTTCTCCTTTCTTTTCTTTTTGGTTTATTCTGGGGAATCGTCTCCAGGAAACTAGCCCGCCAACCGCTGTCAGGTGTGATTCCTGTTCCTGGAGTTACACCTTCCTGCTCCTCCAGGATGTCTCAACTGGCTTTTCGTCTCGGCCATCCACTAGCAAACTGGCTTAGAGCCCTAGGACCTGGAGGACAGATGAGTCTTTCCCCCTTGGCATTTTTTTTTTTTTTTTAACCTTTTTAGATGCTTGAGGGTGAGGCTATCCAACAGGGAGTCCAGGGGCTGGTGGCCCATCCCTTTTCTGACCCTCTGGGGCCATCTTCCTTCTGACAGTTCTCTTCCCCCATCTGTTTTCCTCTTGTTTTTGTTTAAAACAAAACCAAAAAAAAAAAAAAAAAAAAGGAATTAAAAACAACCAGAGAAAGGAAAAGAAACAAACCCAGAAATACACACAACACATCTGGAGCAAGGCCAGCATGGCAGAAAATTCTGTAGCAGTGTGGAGATCCATGTGTGAGCATGTACATGTTTACACGTGCATCTCAAATTATGAAAGAAACTCAGATTGGCAGTAGATGGGACCAAGAGGGGCCCCTCCCTCATCTTTAAAGTATAAAATGTTTACTTTTATTTCATGGTAAAAAAAAAGGGGGGGGGCTCTGTTTCGTTGTTTTCCAGTTTTATTGACATACAACGAACATATGTTATGGTTTCCTCTGATGATGATTTTTCCACTCCTCACACATCCCGGTGAGTGTGCACTGAGCCCGGATTCACTCCAGGGGCTGAGGTGAGCGCTCCTAAGAGCAGCTGAGGGCCCGGGCCTTTCCTGTGGGGCTGTGAGGCTCTTCTCCCTTGAAGCTCCTTCCGTCTCAGGACAGTACTTGGGCTGCAGGAAGAATCTGTCCTGTGAGGGAGCGGTTTCTGCAGCCTGAGGCCTCCAAGCACATTTGTTCAGCTGGGTTGATTGGAGAGCTCTTTCCAGGTTGATTTTTCCCTGGAAAACTACCTGAATTCTGATGAACCAACTCAGGGGAGCTGGGGATATTTACATAGTTGTGTTTGGGTTTTTTTTTTTCCCCTTCTTCATCATTTTGGTTACTGAGGCTGAACACCAAGTCATTTTTTTTTCTTCTTATTGAAGTACAATTTACAAACACTGAAATCTTGAACAGATCTTAAATGGCGGACTGACAAGTTTGGACCAATGTTTACACCAGTATATTTCTATTTCCTTACTGCAGAAGGTTCCATCCTCCCCCCTTCCCAGTCCAAATCCCTTACCCCCAAGGGTACTGGTCCTATCCCCACGGCTTAGCTTTGCACGTTCTAGAATTTCCTGTGAATGGACTCGCACAGTATGAACTCTTTTGTGTTTGGCTTCCTTCTCCTAACGTGACGTTTTCGAGATTCATCCAGGTAGTTGCCCGTACCGGTAGGGCCCAAGATGTCACTAACGCGACGTGTTAAGATGGGGACAGTTGTTCACCCGTTGGCCTTCAGACCAGACGCCCTCTAGACCCTGGTATGTGGCCTTCTGTGCTCTTCTAAGCCAGCCTCTCTCCAGGGCCGAGCAAGTTCCTCTCCCAGAACTGCCCAGGCAGCCGGAGGAACCACCCAGGTGGCCGCGGGGCCGTCCCCGGGCAGCCTCCCCTGAACCGCTGCCTCTGCCCCCCACCCCCCATTAAACTCAAAGGAAACTGGCTCGTCCGCAGATCAGAATTCAAGATTCGTTACATTCCACGCATCCAGTAGTACACACAAGTGTGTGTTTGGGGGTCATACGCAGAGTCCTTGAGAAAACGTAAAAGGAAAAAAAAAAAAAAGTGTGCGTGTGTGTGTCGGGGGCGGGGGGGGGGGGGGGCGGTAAACCCAGACCTCGCTGGCAGTGGATCTCGGCCTCGGCAGAACCAGGATTCAAAATGAAATCTTTTCTTTTTTAAATAAACGGAAGAGTCGCTCTCCGCTCCTCGCTCGGAAGGTTTCAAAGGTCGTCACACCGAAGCCCGGGGGCGTTCATCTCCCCAGCGGCCTGGAGAAGGGAGGAGGTCGGAGGGAGGAGGGAGGGAGCACACAAAAGCGAGCCGTGCCGAGAGGGCTAATGTTTCCTGTTTGCCTGGAACCCCCTCCCCTGTGTCCCCTCCCCCAGCCCCCTCCCAGCACTCGGGCGGAAGTGAGTTTGCTCCTTTGGAGATTAAAAGGATTCCGAATTCCGATCAGTCCCAATAACCGGCGTACCGAGAGCAGAGGAGAAGGAGAAGGAGGAAGAGGCGGCAAAGCAGAGAAAGAGGGGGCACGCGCGCGCGTGCACGCACTCAGGCCGAATTGGGGAGGGGAGTTGTGCACAGCCCCGGGAGGCCAGGGCGCACGGCGCAAGCAAGGGCCAGTAGGCGCGGCGCGGCCGAGGCCACCCGAGTCCCGCTCGGGGGCTCCGAGAGAAGATGACGCGGGCCGGCGGCGTGGGCCACGCGGCTCCCGAGCTCACCGCGCCTGGCTGCTGCCGGCTCCACTGATTCCTGCGCGCCCCGGAGGAAGCTGCGTCCCCGCGGCTCGGGATCGGAGGGGGGACCAAGGCGAGGGCGAAATGGCCCGATGACAAAGGAAATGTGATCCCCCTTCGCTGCCAAGGTTTCAGAGAGGACGGACGTGAGGAGGAGGGGCGCGGGGCGCGCGCGGAGCTCGGATAGCATTGCACGACGGCTCGCGCGGAGCGGGCAGCGGGTACATCTAATATCTTCCTGCCGATGAATAATTCAGGCCGGCCCGCGGGGACCTGCGGCCCCGCGCTGCAGCGCGGCTAACCCGGAGGGGAAGGAGCGCGCGCGGGAGGCGCCAAGGCCCGGCGAGGCGGGGGCGCGAGGGCCCCGGGCCGCGTGGG